CAAGGTATCTATCATCTCTGTAGACTTTATCTGCGTCTCTCTAAAAGAGAACAGTAATAACTTGTATAGCCTGTGTGAACTCAGCGTAAAGATGCATCTAAAGCACAATGTGTGCCAATAATGTTATTCTGGAGTTTGTATGATATTGATTATCCAACCTTCTTTTGAAAACCCATTCCATGTTAGACACTGTACAAGAAAGAAACATCATGAAAGGGTTAAGATTTCTTGCTAGCAAGAAAGACATCTCTGTCTCTGAATTTGTTGTTAAAATCCTTGTACTCCATTCACACAAACCATGTATATTTACCAGATATCTGCTATCATCAAAACCCCACAAGGAGTTACAGAGAAATGAGATGCAGGTTGAAATGGTTTTTGAAAGAATAGTAGTTAGGTGCTGGGGAAGTAAGGAAATAAGTGAGTGGCAGGGATTGGCTTTGAACATATTTGGAGAAGAGTTAGACCCTTTTGTTCGAAACGAGAGCCTTTGACATTCAGCACCATTACAGCTACAGTCTGTGCCATTGTGCTTTTTGCACATGGTGAACACGCAGTGTGTGTTGGCATCAATGAGCATGGCGGTGATGGTGCAGGCTTTAGAGCACCACAAATTCCTCCCTTTCTTTTAGAGCTGTTAACTTTATTTGGCTTCTTCATTCCTTCATTTTCCACTGAATGAATGCCAGAAATTCTTTTTCAAATTTTTTCCTGTCTGATCAAGTCTTAGATAATGTCTGCTTCTTTTGGTAGCTAAGCATCCTCCAAACTCAGCTTCTTGCTTCAGTGAGAAGATATTATGGTATTGCCAATGGAAACCACTTCACATTTGGGCAACATCATGAAGTCTAAATGGCTCACATTCAAGTTTCAGTATGGATTCTGGTTCCTGCACATTTGCTGTCAAAAACCACCTTACAGGAGCCAAACTGTGGAATCCTCCCAAGTGTTAGGCACTATTAGAAGTACCATTAAAGTACTGAAGAGTTTCAAAAGATTATGAAATGCTGATATTTTTAACATATCCTGTAGTACTTCATGGAATTTTAATCAGCCCCTTGTTTCTGTCATGGGGTTAAAGATAATTGAAGTCCTCAATTTTATATAACATTGCAAGTTCAAGAAAGAATTCTTAACTTGGAACTTGTGTAAAAATTTTGTGCTTTGACATACCAGTGAATATACAGAACAATTCCCTGATTTTCAAATGAAATTGTGAAGTAGAAGTTTAAGAAACACATAATTGTTACTTTTTCTATGCTGCGTAGCTTAATCCCTTCTAACTTCCTTTGGCCAGCCTGCAGGAAAGAAGACAAACTGCAACATTATCATTAAAGTAGAGATTTTATAATATTATGGACTGTTTAGGGACAAAGGTCATTGGCCACTAGTCTTTGATGTAATAATTAAATTAACATAGAATACATCTCAAAGCCTTCCTGATGCCTGGCAATGTCTTCTTCACTTGAAAAACTAAAATACATAACTCACATGAAAATATAAGTTTAGGCACTCTGTATCAAATAAAAATCACATGTTGTTTATTTACAGTTTCTTGTGAGATTGTTTGTTGCATGTCTGTTTCCTCCATTAGAATATAAACTCCCTGAAGGCAGTGAGCACATCTGTTTTGGTGACCACCATTTCCTCAGCTTTTTGAAAAACATGTTAGTTGAAAGAAAAATAAAATGAAGTTACATGGATTTGTACCCAAGATTCATGGACTAACACAACATAACCCATATCGTCTACCAAAGTATTATGTAAAATGTAGTTGACATTCCCTATATCATTTATGTTGATCAATAAAAGCCTATAATAACATTGAATCATGACTCAAGGCTCACGTAGGAGATCCTGTTGAATTTATTATAATTTACTCTAGCTTTAGTGTGTCCAAAGATGGAAACATCTAAGAAGTGGGTCATTTAAGTGTGCCTTTCAATTATCTCGTCAATATGATCGTCTTAACCAGTTTGGGGAGTATTGGACTGAGTATTAGAGAACTGAAGGTGCTGATCTCTCATGAGCGTCTTAATGATAGCTTGTATCAGTTGTAACTGAGAGAGATACTATCCAGGGTGAAAATGGAGTTGGTATTCCATTGGAAACATTAAGAAGCCTAACTCATTAATAGCAGAATAAAGAGTGGTGGATCCCTTGTACTCCTCTCATGTAGATAATAGCCAATCACTTACTGCCAGGTATAGCGCAAGTAGAAAGCATTATCCTAAAGAAAACAGCACAAATTACGTAACAGACATAGTGACTGTTGTTTTTAGCAGGAGAGTCTCAGTTCAGTGTGCTGAATAGGAAAAGCAGTCTGTAGGTAAAATTGGGAGGTTTGTAATGTAATGTCATTTTCATTGTGGACATTACAGTACATTATAGATAATTTATGTGTCTAAATATTATTTCTCAGAACATGTGCAAATTTTATTTTATGCCACTTACCATACAGTACAGTTGGCAATAAGGTAGGTGAGTCTTGGATCCTTTCAAGGGGCAGCACGGCTGTAATGTCAAGGATGAGATGCGCGCTGTGTTTTTCCTTCGGCACTGGCTGCTTGGCAGTGTCTGCCACATACAGTGACTCCCGAAAATTTTAACATGACCTGAGCTCTTCTATGATTATCAACCTGTATTCTTAAAGGTTTTATGGTATTCAAACCACAAGTTGCTGATTTTTTTTTTTAATTGAACATCTCTTATTTCGGGGAGCTTAATCATCAAAACCGTTTTTTTATAATGTGCTGACAAAATGCAGGATATGTCAGTGAAAGATGAAATACCTCTAAAGCAAAAGGGGGAAGGTCTCATCTGGCTTCTTTACTAATGTTGGATGGTGGCCTGACGCACCGGTGACGCCAACAGTAACTGTATCCGATTTCCCACTTCCTGTACAGTGCTTCAGAGAATAGCGGCACATCTCTAACGAATGCAGAAGGATGCAGATTGCTAGATACTAGCTGTGCTGTAAGAGAGGCCACAGTCTCCACGGCATTGCTATTCCATCCATCTTATCTCAGATCTGCAGAGTGGAGAGTGTTAACTTACTCCTGTGTACAATTCCCAGTCCTCTCCCTGACATATGGAAGTCGCGCTTTCTGCACACACTCGTTTTCCATACCTGTAGTTCACACGTACTGAGCATGATGCCTGCAAAGGGAAAAACATGCAAACACCAAGGGGGCGTAGCTGGCGCCTGGCCTTTAGAGCCTTCAGCCGCCAAGCACGTAGCCCTGGGAACCCCTGATTGAAACACGGAAGTTCCTGTAAAGTAAGGGTTGGTTTAAGTTTTCTTGTTTGTTTCGTTTTGTTTTGTCTTGTTATATTTAAACAAGGGCCTAAATCTACATCCCAACAAATTTCAGAACTCTGCCATATACTTTTGTGGGTAGTGTTAGCTTATATTTGGGGACACAGTGGTATGTAGAGTGTGCATTTGTGTTTGTTAATTTTCCTCTTTTATTTTGAGAGGCAGAGAGAGAATGAGAGAGAAGGGTTCGGTGCTCTGGTTCACACCCCAAATGCCTGCAGCAGCACTGAGCTGCTGCCAGCCCCGGGAACCAAGAACCCTCACCTTGCGCATATGCCTCGGTGGCAGGAAACCAGTTGCTGGAGTCAAAGCTGCTGCCTCTTAGCATCGGGAGCCAGAGCTAGAACACTCCAAGGTGGCATGGGGCCCTCTGTTTTGTTTTTCTTTTCTTTTTTTTTTTTAGCCACTAGATATTTGTTCCTTTTAAAAAATCTGCTGAAATGAAGAGATATGTTTAAACATCAAAATAGTAAACAGTGCCGTATTTCTTCCTTTCATTATACTTTTCAAAAATAAATGTGAACAGTGCATGAATCCCTAAAAATTATGTCTATGGAATAAAAAAAATAGCTTTTTTTTTTTAATACAGAAGCTATTAATACAAAATCCAGAAAGTGGTATTGAACTCACTTTTAAAATAAATATATAGTTTAAAAAATTATGTTTCATGTAGCTTCAGAAGCTTTTAGCAATCATAAAAATATGATCATTCACCCAGATGATTGGGTTACTGAGTAACAGGCTTAGCAGCAGGAATTACGGAATTCCAGATCATTTCTTCTTTTAATGGATGGTTAAATTTATTTTATATTACCAAAAAAACATCATTATTAACATTTCGATTAAAGCCCTATTTTTTGTAGTGATATATGCATTTTAACTTGGAGACAAGGCCCATGAACTATTTCTTCCTATTTCCTATTGTAAAACCAGATTAATTAACTTGACCCTACCGTGGTAGGATCCTCCCATTAAGAATTATCGAAAACTTGGATGAGAGCAGTTTAGTATGAGACTATATTTGGGCCTTAAGTATTTATTGCATCAACTCAAAATTGAAAAAATACTATACACTTAGAAAACATTAACTGCATTGTCTGTTACCTGTTACTTCATTGTCATATATCTTCTTAAAATGTCTTTGAGTTTAAATTATTATTACAAACCCATTAGTTCTGCTGCCTTGGGATGAAATGACTCATAATAGTAGTCTATACAATAAAAAGGGTTGATGAATTTTTACTGGACTGTCCTTTCGGGACTATAATTTTCGACATTCTCTGGAAACTTTGCCAATCCTTCAGTGATAAAGCACTCTTATACTCTTTTTCACTGACAGGTCCACAAGTGCCCTGAATGTTCAACCTATGAATGTTGGACATCACATCAACTGCTATGATTCCTTTTTGCTGTCTCGTCCCATGATGAAAGGGAAGAGAGTGGGCAAGACAGAAGGCTTCAACTCCTGCCAGGATCAACACTGTTCCATTCATGAGAGTAGAGTCTTCATAATCTAGATACTTCACAAGGCCATTCCTCCTAACACTAAGTTTCCACCACATACTTTTTGGGGAACACATTCAAGCCATAGCAACCCACTAAAGTCAGCATCCTAATAAATTCTAGAGCATCACTCTAACTCCCCCAGAGCTTTTAAATTTCCTTCCAGTACTCACCTGACCTTTCAACCTCTGTTTTAATTGAAATATTAAAAGATGTCTTTTTCAGGGTCCCAAGGCTTTGGGCCATCCTCCTCTATTGCCTTCCCAGGCCACAAGCAGGGAGCTGGATGGGAAGTGTAGCAGCGAGGGCATGAACTGGCACCCACATGAGATTCCTGCACATGCAAGGTGAGGATTTAGCCACTAGGCCATTATGCTAGGCACTTTTGTATTATTTTTTTTATGACTGCTATTGAGAGTCAAAGTTAGTTTATACATCCTTATCATAGTTCATTTATTCTTTTATTTATATTATTGTTCCCCTATATGTTACACCATATACATGAAAAATACGTTGTTGTAATTTTTGCACTAAAAAAATCAGTTGTATTGTTACAAAACTTAACAAAAAATTTTTTCCCTGCTTGTGGCCTAGGAAAGCAGTGGAGGATGGCCCGAAGCGTTCGGGCTCTACCCCGGGGGTTCTGGCCAGCAGGTGCCCACGGCCCCCAAGGGGGTAACGTGACAGTGTTCTTCCCAAGAGCCACCGGGTACACTCTGGTCAAGCATGTCCATTTATTGCAAACCAAGCACAATCTTGTGTCTCCCAACCATCTGGCCACCCAATAACAGCACTGTAATTGGCTAGAAGGCAGCTCTATCTCTCTGAAACATCCAATCCTGCTGCAATTCACATATACCATTTATGGCTAGCAGGCAATGTGGGACCATACCAACTTCTCAGAGCTGCTTACCAATAAAGTCCCAGCACAGCTTGTCCAAGGACAGAGAAGGAAAACCAGGGTACAACCCACTGCTTTCACCTGTATGGCCAGTGAGCAGGTCAGGTCGAGGTCTCGATGTGCCAAGACCGTTGTCAGGGGGCTCCCCCGGGGTACAGAGTGCTCCATGTCCGTATGACCTTCCCCATAGGCGGAGTGGGCAGACATCCAGGGGTGATCTCCCACAACCCTGCATGTGGCGGGGGGACCTAGAAGAAGCTCCTGGCTCCTGGCTGCAGATCGGTTCAGCTCCGGCCATTGCAGCCACTTGGGGAGTGAATCAGTGGATGGAAAATCTTTCTGTCTGTCTGTCATCTCTGTACATCTGACTTTCCATAAATAAATAAATAGATCTATAAAAAAAGATAAAATCCTCATTTGCTCATTTCAATATCTGGATCATTTTAAGTCTGTTTCTATTATCTTTTCCCCCTTCATGGCCGTGGATTAAATTTTCCTGTTTCTGTATTGGCTAAATTTTCGTTTGTGTTGGACGTTGTAGAAAAGAAGTTATTCAGTCTCTGAGTTCTGTCCTACTCTCCCGAAGGATGTTGATCTTGGTTGTGGTGGGAATTTAAACCATGAGTTGACAACCTGAAAGTGTTCCGGCTTGGCTTAACACTTTATTGTGGTAATATTTGGTTACTGCTCATAATTATGGAGCAAACCCGTGGGCCCAGAACATCATCTCTGCCACTAGAGATATGTCCCTTCTGTGTTTGCATGGAAAGCCTGAGGAATTTATCAAGCCTGAAGTCTAAACTACCTCTCCTGCTGTGGACAAAGGCTGAAAATCTCTGCTCTGGTTCTTCATTTTTGCAGCTCCTTGGAGTCCTCTCCAGACAGTCAGAGTTGAAAATCCAGCCAAAGGAAAAAAAAAAAAAAGGCAGAGAGGGATTTATTCACAGACTTGGAATTACTCCCCTTCTGCGGTTGGCTTCTATCTGTAAGGAATTTCCCTTTGAGTTTCCAGCTGTTCCGGCATCCCAAAACTCCATCTCAGGCCAAAAAACTGACAGCCTTCTGTTTGGGTTCTCACCACCCTGAACATACAGAAAGGCAAGTGCTGTGTGGGTGAAGGACCAGCCCGACAGAACGGCGTAAGCCCCTCCGGTTGGCCTGCGTGGGGAGCTCGCCCGTGCCATCCCGTCACTGCGTTTTCATAATTTGTCCCGGTTTATCACTGTCACAAAGAGGAGAGTTAACTGCCTAGCACAACAAGAGCTCTCTTTAAAAAAAAAAAAACTTTATGAAAATATAATCTTTATAAACACAATGAGTAAGTGTTTATGTGTAGAAAAATAACATCTGAAGGAATATATTCCAAGTTATTTCTCAGTGGTACGATTTTTTGCAATTTCAATTTTTTTTCCCTTGCACTTAACCTGTGCTGTCTGCTTCTTTCTCTAGCTAACATAGGTAGAACAGCAAAGTCCCCTCCTGGTTCTCCTACAGGTGGTTCGTTCATGGTCACTCTTTTTAATATGATGTACTTTTGCTTCCATGTTACATTTCATATTACAACTCCCAGAGGTTAACTGCAGATCCTCTTAGCAGTCTATTCTATCTGTATGGTAAACAAAATTCTTTCTGGCTCTAGAAATAGACAAATGAGGACAAATCAAAGTTAAATGGCTTATCCAGAATCTCAGGCACATTGACAGAATAGCCCAGAAATAGATTTTAAATTTAAAGTTCCTCAGCTCAGCTGTGTATACTTTTTTCCAGTTCTCAGCATCAATGTATACAGTTAATTCGACATTTTTCTAATGGGTATGAAAGAAAATTATCATAGTTAAATATAAGCATCAAATATTTTGGAAACTTCACTTTAGTCACTGATTTCAATCTCCTCTCCATCAAGTCTCTTTTAGCAGATGGAAAATTTTGACTGATTTTAATTTGACTGCAGTTAACCCTCCAGGGGCTAACGGCAAAATGGCAGAAACACATATATTGGATAAGCAGCAAATTTCCTTCTTTCCTGGGATGTATGCTTATTTGTATGTGAAATAGGGTCAAAGGATGGCTATTTAATTTAGCTATCCAGTGATAGATATGCAAACTTAACTAGGCATACTTTAAACACATTCTGATGTGGGTTTCTTCTAAAATGGCTTACTAAAAATATCATAAAGGTTAAAGTCCTCACTTTGCATGCGCCTGGATCCCATATGGGTGCCAGTTCTAATCCCGGCAGCCCTACTTCCCATCCAGCTCCCTGCCTGTGGCCTGGGAAAGCAGTCAAGGACAGCCCAAGGTCTTGGGACGCTGCACCTGTGTGGGAGACCCAGAAGAAGCTCCTGGCTTCAGATGGGCTCAGCTCCAGCTGTTAAGGTCTCTTGGGGAGTGAGTCAATGTAGGAAAGATCTTCTTCTCTGTCTCTCCTCCTCTCTGTATATCTGACTTTCAAATAAAATAAATTTTATAAAAAGAAAGAAAGAAATTAGTGTTGTCCCTCTAAAGTTTCAGATTGAAATCAAAGGCATCTCATGGAAGATACCAAATAAAACTGGCTTTGAAAGTTCCATGGAGGGCCTGATGCCGTGGCCTAGTGGCTAAAGTCCTCGCCTTGAACGCACAGGGATCCCGCATGGGTGCCGGTTCTAATCCCCGCAGCCCCCACTTCCCATCCAGCTCCCTGCTTGTGGCCTGGGAAAGCAGTCAAGGACGGCCCAAGGCTTTGGGACCCTGCACCCATGTGGGAGACCCGGAGGAAGCTCCTATCTTCAGATGGGCTCAGCTCTGGCCATTGCAATCACTTGGGGAGTGAATCTTCGACGGAAGATCTTCCTCTCTGTCTCTCCTCGTCCCTGTATATTTGACTTTGCAATAAAAATTAATAAGTCTTAAGAAAGTCCCACAGAAATAGATACAAGTGAAAGCAAATAATTATTCAAGATTATCAGTTTACAATATGTGCCCTCACAGTAGGCTCTGTGGAGGGGGGTATAAAGTGCCGCGAGCAGGTATGGGCATTGGGTGCAGGTGTTGAACTGCCACTTAGGATGCCTACAGCTCCTAGGAGAGTGCCTGCGTTGGACTCTCAGCTCTTTTCCAGTCTCAGCTTCCTACTAATCGAGAGTCCAGCAAGCAGCTGTAATTGCCCAAGGCTGAGTCTCTGCTGCCCATAGGGGATGATGACCCAGGTGGAGTTCCAGGCACCTGGTGTCGGCTGGATCCGTCCAAGGCTATTGTGAGCATTTAAGAAGTAAACCAAGAGTTGGAAGACATAAAATATTCTGAATATGTTGATTATGCTCTGATCATGGAAGAGGATTTACTTGTTATGTACTAAAGGGCATGGTATTTACAGCCTTAAAAATTTCATGAAAGTAGTAATCCCGTGCAGGTAGGCATTTCTGAAGCAATTGCAATGCCAGTGTGTGACATTACAGTACCCGGCTGGGCACCCGGTTTTTGCTCTCGACTTCAGCTTCCTGTGAGTGCAGGAAGGCACCTGGATTGAATCCTGCCTTCCAGCTTCGGACCTGGCCCAGTCCTGATTGTCGGCATTTGAGGAGCAAATCAGCAGATGGAAACACTCTCTTTTACCTGCCTTGCAGGCACAAAACACAAATTTAAGGGGCTCAATGCTGTGGCCTACTGGGTACCTGCAGTGCCAGCCCCTGCGTCCATGTGGGAGTCCCAGAAGCTTCTGGCTCTTGGCTCCAGACTGGCTCTAGTTTCACACATTGTAGCCATTTGAATGGAAGATTCTCTCTCTCTCTCCCTCGCTCCCTCCATCTCCCTCTCTCCCTCCATTCCTCCTTCCCTCTTTTGAATAAGCAAATCTTTTTTAAAAGGTACAAATTTTAAATTCAAATGAAAAATACTCCCTAAAGTTTTAGAAATCTCTCCTAATAATTATTTTTTAATTAACCTATTTATTTTAGAGAGAGTGAGACAAAGATATGGGGAAAGCTCCCATCTACTGGTCATTTCCCAAAATCTCTAAAAACCAGCCTGGGTTTGGGCCAAGCTGAAGCTAGGAGACAGGAACTCCAGCCGAATCTCCCAGAGAGCTGGCAGGGATCCAGTTACTTGGGTCATCACTGCTTCCACCAGGTTGTACGTTAGCAGAAAGCTAATTGGGACTTGAACCCTGGTACTCCATTATAAAATGCAAGTATCTTTTCAGCATATATATTTTTACCGTGAAGCAGAGTTTAAAGAGAGAGAAGGAAAGATAGAGATAGAAGGACTTCCATCCACTGGTTCACTCCACAGTTGGTCACAGCATCCAGA